CCACACTGTGGGACACACCACACAGCGGGACACACCACACCGTGGGACACACCACACCGTGGGACACACCACACTGTGGGACACACCACACTGTGGGACACACCACACAGTGGGACACACCACACTGTGGGACACACCACACTGTGGGACACACCACACAGTGGGACACACCACACCGTGGGATACACCACACCGTGGGACACACCACACAGTGGGACACACCACACTGTGGGACACACCACACTGTGGGACACACCACACAGCGGGACACACCACACCGTGGGACACACCACACCGTGGGACACACCACACCGTGGGACACACCACACAGTGGGACACACCACACAGTGGGACACACCACACAGTGGGACACACCACACAGTGGGACACACCACACAGTGGGATACACCACACCGTGGGACACACCACACAGTGGGACACACCACACTGTGGGACACACCACACCGTGGGACACACCACACAGTGGGACACACCACACAGTGGGACACACCACACCGTGGGACACACCACACAGTGGGACACACCACACCGTGGGACACACCACACAGCGGGACACACCACACAGCGGGACACACCACACCGTGGGACACACCACACAGTGGGACACACCACACAGCGGGACACACCACACAGCGGGACACACCACACCGTGGGACACACCACACAGTGGGACACACCACACTGTGGGACACACCACACAGCGGGACACACCACACAGCGGGACACACCACACCGTGGGACACACCACACTGTGGGACACACCACACAGCGGGACACACCACACCGTGGGACGCACCACACTGTGGGACACACCACACCGTGGGACACACCACACAGCGGGACACACCACACCGTGGGACACACCACACCGTGGGACACACCACACCGTGGGACACACCACACAGCGGGACACACCACACCGTGGGACGCACCACACCGTGGGACGCACCACACAGCGGGACACACCACACCGTGGGACACACCACACCGTGGGACACACCACACCGTGGGACACACCACACTGTGGGACACACCACACAGCGGGACACACCACACCGTGGGACACACCACACCGTGGGACACACCACACAGCGGGACACACCACGCCGTGGGACACACCACGCCGTGGGACACACCACACCGTGGGACACACCACACTGTGGGACACACCACACAGCGGGACACACCACACCGTGGGACGCACCACACTGTGGGACACACCACACCGTGGGACACACCACACAGTGGGACACACCACACCGCGGGACACACCACACCGTGGGACACACCACACTGTGGGACACACCACACCGTGGGACACACCACACAGCGGGACACACCACACCGTGGGACACACCACACTGTGGGACACACCACACTGTGGGACACACCACACAGCGGGACACACCACACCGTGGGACACACCACACAGCGGGACACACCACACCGTGGGACACACCACACAGTGGGACACACCACACAGTGGGACACACCACACAGTGGGACACACCACACAGTGGGACACACCACACCGTGGGACACACCACACCGTGGGACACACCACACCGTGGGACACACCACACTGTGGGACACACCACACAGTGGGACACACCACACCGTGGGACACACCACACCGTGGGACACACCACACCGTGGGACACACCACACCGTGGGACACACCACACAGTGGACACACCACCCCGTGGGACACACCACACCGTGGGACACACCACACCGTGGGACACACCACACAGTGGGACACACACACCGTGGGACACACCCACCTCGGGACACACCACACTGTGGGACACACCCACACTGTGGGACACACCACACAGTGGGACACACCACACCGTGGGACACACCACACAGTGGGACACACCACACCTCGGGACACACCACACCTCGGGACACACCACACCGTGGGACACACCACACCGTGGGACACACCACACCGTGGGACAACCCACACCGTGGGACACACCACACAGTGGGACACACCACACAGTGGGACACCACCACACCGTGGACACACCACACTGTGGGACACACCACACCGTGGGACACACCACACAGTGGGACACACCACACCGTGGGACACACCACACCGTGGGACACACCACACCGTGGGAACACCACACAGTGGGACACACCACACCGTGGGACACACCACACCGTGGGACACACCACACTGTGGGACACACCACACAGTGGGACACACCACACCGTGGGACACACCACACAGCGGGACACACCACACAGCGGGACACACCACACAGCGGGACACACCACACTGTGGGACACACCACACAGTGGGACACACCACACAGTGGGACACACCACACAGTGGGACACACCACACAGTGGGACACACCACACCGTGGGACACACCACACAGTGGGACACACCACACAGTGGGACACACCACACCGTGGGACACACCTCACAGCGGGACACACCACACCGTGGGACACACCACAACGTGGGACACACCACACCGTGGGACACACCACACCGTGGGACACACCACACAGTGGGACACACCACACAGTGGGACACACCACACAGTGGGACACACCACACTGTGGGACACACCACACCGTGGGACACACCACACCGTGGGACACACCACACCGTGGGACACACCACACCGTGGGACACACTACACAGTGGGACACACCACGCCGTGGGACACACCACACAGTGGGACACACCACACCGTGGGACACACCACACCGTGGGACACACCACACCGTGGGACACACCACACAGCGGGACACACCACACTGTGGGACACACCACACAGTGGGACACACCACACAGTGGGACACACCACACAGTGGGACACACCACACAGTGGGACACACCACACCGTGGGACACACCACACTGTGGGACACACCACACTGTGGGACACACCACACTGTGGGACACACCACACAGTGGGACACACCACACCGTGGGACACACCACACTGTGGGACACACCACACCGTGGGACACACCACACCGTGGGACACACCACACTGTGGGACACACCACACAGTGGGATACACCACACTGTGGGACACACCGCACTGTGGGACACACCACACCGTGGGACACACCACACTGTGGGACACACCACACTGTGGGACACACCACACTGTGGGACACACCACACTGTGGGACACACCACACTGTGGGACACACCGCACTGTGGGACACACCACACCGTGGGACACACCACACTGTGGGACACACCACACTGTGGGACACACCACACTGTGGGACACACCACACTGTGGGACACACCACACTGTGGGACACACCACACCGTGGGACACACCACACCGTGGGACACACCACACTGTGGGACACACCACACTGTGGGACACACCACACTGTGGGACACACCACACTGTGGGACACACCACACCGTGGGACACACCACACTGTGGGACACACCACACTGTGGGACACACCACACCGTGGGACACACCGCACCGTGGGACACACCGCACTGTGGGACACACCACACAGTGGGACACACCACACAGTGGGACACACCACACCGTGGGACACACCACACCGTGGGACACACCACACCGTGGGACACACCACACCGTGGGACACACCACACTGTGGGACACACCACACCGTGGGACACACCACACCGTGGGACACACCACACCGTGGGACACACCACACCGTGGGACACACCACACTGTGGGACACACCACACTGTGGGACACACCACACAGCGGGACACACCACACCGTGGGACACACCACACCGTGGGACACACCACACCGTGGGACACACCACACCGTGGGACACACCACACAGTGGGACACACCACACCGTGGGACACACCACACTGTGGGACACACCACACTGTGGGACACACCACACTGGGACACACCACACCGTGGGACACACCACACTGTGGGACACACCACACTGTGGGACACACCACACCGTGGGACACACCACACTGCGGGACACACCACACCGTGGGACACACCACACCGTGGGACACACCACACTGTGGGACACACCACACAGCGGGACACACCACACTGTGGGACACACCACACCGTGGGACACACCACACCGTGGGACACACCACACTGTGGGACACACCACACAGCGGGACACACCACACAGCGGGACACACCACGCCGTGGGACACACCACACCGTGGGACACACCACACCGTGGGACACACCACACAGTGGGACACACCACGCCGTGGGACACACCACACCGTGGGACACACCACACCGTGGGACACACCACACAGCGGGACACACCACACAGCGGGACACACCACGCCGTGGGACACTGCCTTTGTGGGGTTGTCGAAGTCAGAGCATTGAGGCATTGGTGCTCATCTCCTGTTTATTGCCCTTAGCCAGAGGTGCAAATTTCAAATTCCTATGGCGGGGGTTAGTCTACCCCATAGGACAACCACCGTTGATACCAAATGTGGTGCTCATTTTATCAACCCCGGAGGGTGGGACGATGGCGGCGTAAACCCCAAACTCGGGTTTGATCTCGCAACCTTGCTGCAGCCACTAGCACCTCTCGGGGCTGCAGCAGAAGCAGCGTGGATCCGTTAGGAGCAACGCGTACGAATCAAACACACGCCGAGAAGATCACCCAGAGACCTCTCGCCCTCTGCACCTGTCCAACCAGCAGTGTTTCGCAAGAGTCCGACCCGTGCACCGTGACCCTCACCCAGGCCCCAACTCAGGGTCTTCGTCTCGCTCTCTCTGCTTTCTCTTTGACAGTCACTTTGGCCGTCATGAAGTCACGTGTAGATAAGCCAGGTAGAGTAGGCGGTTTTTTTTTTAATCCTTTATTTATCTTGTTGAAGACCCCGGTTGTGATCTTACTCGGGTTGTCGTCCTACACCCCCCCCTCCCACTCCCCGCCCCCCATCCTTGAGCACCATTGACCCCGCGGCCGCCACCCCGGTGCGCGTTCCTTCCCGCAGGAAGAACTTCCCGAGCCACACGCGCCAGGTGCTCACGGAGCACTGCAACGAGGTGTGGTTCTGCAAGTTCTCCAACGACGGCACGCGGCTCGCCACGGGCTCCAAGGACTCCACCGTCATCATCTGGCTGGTGGAGCAGGTGGGGGCCAGTTCTCAGTCCCCCCCCTTCCACCTTGTTGCGCTGAGGAAGTGTTTCCTGAGCGTGGCGCAGTATGGCCTGCGGGTCGCGGGTGTCTGTTAACTACCTCGCCTGGTAATTGGTTCTTTACCCTTCTATCTGGCAACAAAACTGACACCTTTTTGCAAGGAGTCATGTTTGCATAGACCGCAATACCTGCAGTCATAAATACAAACAAAAGACATAACTCTGATAATGTGCACCTTTTGGCGTCATCTGGTCCAACCCATATGAGACTAGGCTCGAAGGAAAGCTGTCTCGGGTGTGGACCAATCAACTTCAAGGACAGTGCACATTATCAGAGTTATGTCTTTTGTTTGTATTTATGACTGCAGGTATTGCGGTCTATGCAAACATGACTCCTTGCAAAAAGGTGTCAGTTTTGTTGCCAGATAGAAGGGTAAAGAACCAATTATCATATTTTTACTGGCAAATGAGGTCCCCATAGTGTAGATGCTTGCCCCGAGCTCTCATACTCTGATGGTGCATTGTCCTTGAGTTGTGCGCCTTTTGGCGTCATCTGGTCCAACCCATATGAGACTAGGCTCGAAGGAAAGCTGTCTCGGGTGTGGACCAATCAACTTCAAGGACAGTGCACATTATCAGAGTTATGTCTTTTGTTTGTTTTTATGACTGCAGGTATTGCGGTCTATGCAAACATGACTCCTTGCAAAAAGGTGTCAGTTTTGTTGCCAGATAGAAGGGTAAAGAACCAATTATCATATTTTTACTGGCAAATGAGGTCCCCATAGTACCTCGCCTGGTTTACAGGAGGTCGTGGGTTCAATCCCGACCCTGACGCCTGCTGTATATTTGGGGTTTTGTGTGTCTCTCTCTCCCCGTGGTCACGTGGGTTTTTGTACGGGTCCAGTTTTTCCCTTCACATTTAGAATCAACTTGTGTTTAAGACTATTTGGCTACAACAAATGTCTACATGATGATAAGCCACTTAGTTCAGCTATCGTTTGTGGCCAGGTCGGTTCTGAAAAAGAGGTATACAGCTCAGTGGGCCTTGCCGGGTAAAGTAAAAATTGTTCAGTGTTTAGTTTCGACTCACTCAATGATGAAAATACTAAGATAATTATTTAGGAAGGCGAATTCCGATCATAGATCCCAATGGACCGTGTAGGACAGCCGGAAATTAACAGAATCGGGGTGAACGGCCAGAACTCGGCGAGTTGAAGGAGCCGAGTTCCCCCCTATTTGTCTTTTCGTCAGTTGAAATAAGATGGGGCTTTACAGCTCAGTGGGCCTTACCTGGTCAAATAAAAAAGTAGTTTATAGTTTAGTTTAGTCTCCTCCCGCGCGCCGCCGGCGCTGAGCGGGCACGTGTGCGCGTGGCAGGAGAGCCATCAGCTCAAGGTGGCGCACACGCTGGAGGGACACACGTACGGAGTCTCCTACCTCGCATGGAGCCCGGACGACACGCACCTCATCGCCTGCGGGCCCGATGACTGCTCCGAGCTATGGCTGTGGAACACACAGGTGTGTGTGCGTGATGAGTGGTGGTGCAGTTGTGCTGCTGTGTGTGATGATGCGGTTGTGCGGTGGTGATGAGTGGTGGTGTGGTTGTGTTGTGGTGAGTGGTGGTGTGGTTGTGTTGTGGTGGTGATGAGTGGTGGTGTGGTTGTGTTGTGGTGGTGAGTGGTGGTGTGGTTGTGTTGTGGTGGTGATGAGTGGTGGTGTGGTTGTGTTGTGGTGATGAGTGGTGGTGTGGTTGTGTTGTGGTGATGAGTGGTGGTGTGGTTGTGTTGTGGTGGTGAGTGGTGGTGCGGTTGTGTTGTGGTGGTGAGTGGTGGTGCGGTTGTGTTGTGGTGGTGAGTGGTGGTGTGGTTGTGTTGTGGTGGTGAGTGGTGGTGCGGTTGTGTTGTGGTGGTGAGTGGTGGTGTGGTTGTGTTGTGGTGGTGAGTGGTGGTGCGGTTGTGTTGTGGTGGTGAGTGGTGGTGTGGTTGTGTTGTGGTGGTGAGTGGTGGTGTGGTTGTGTTGTGGTGGTGAGTGGTGGTGCGGTTGTGTTGTGGTGGTGAGTGGTGGTGCGGTTGTGTTGTGGTGGTGAGTGGTGGTGTGGTTGTGTTGTGGTGGTGAGTGGTGGTGTGGTTGTGTTGTGGTGGTGAGTGGTGGTGCGGTTGTGTTGTGGTGGTGAGTGGTGGTGTGGTTGTGGTGATGAGTGGTGGTGCGGTTGTGTTGTGGTGGTGAGTGGTGGTGTGGTTGTGTTGTGGTGGTGAGTGGTGGTGCGGTTGTGTTGTGGTGGTGAGTGGTGGTGTGGTTGTGCTGTGGTGGTGATGAGTGGTGGTGTGGTTGTGTTGTGGTGGTGGTGAGTGGTGGTGTGGTTGTGTTGTGGTGAGTGGTGGTGTGGTTGTGTTGTGGTGGTGATGAGTGGTGGTGTGGTGGTGATGAGTGGTGGTGTGGTTGTGTTGTGGTGGTGAGTGGTGGTGTGGTTGTGTTGTGGTGATGAGTGGTGGTGTGGTTGTGTTGTGGTGGTGTGGTTGTGTTGTGGTGGTGAGTGGTGGTGCGGTTGTGTTGTGGTGGTGAGTGGTGGTGTGGTTGTGTTGTGGTGGTGAGTGGTGGTGCGGTTGTGTTGTGGTGGTGAGTGGTGGTGTGGTTGTGTTGTGGTGGTGAGTGGTGGTGTGGTTGTGTTGTGGTGGTGATGAGTGGTGGTGTGGTTGTGTTGTGGTGGTGAGTGGTGGTGCGGTTGTGTTGTGGTGGTGAGTGGTGGTGCGGTTGTGTTGTGGTGGTGATGAGTGGTGGTGTGGTTGTGGTGGTGAGTGGTGGTGTGGTTGTGTTGTGGTGGTGAGTGGTGGTGTGGTTGTGTTGTGGTGGTGAGTGGTGGTGTGGTTGTGTTGTGGTGGTGATGAGTGGTGGTGTGGTTGTGGTGGTGAGTGGTGGTGTGGTTGTGTTGTGGTGGTGAGTGGTGGTGTGGTTGTGTTGTGGTGGTGAGTGGTGGTGCGGTTGTGTTGTGGTGGTGAGTGGTGGTGTGGTTGTGTTGTGGTGGTGATGAGTGGTGGTGTGGTTGTGGTGATGAGTGGTGGTGTGGTTGTGTTCTGGTGGTGAGTGGTGGTGTGGTTGTGTTGTGGTGGTGAGTGGTGGTGTGGTTGTGTTGTGGTGGTGAGTGGTGGTGTGGTTGTGTTGTGGTGGTGAGTGGTGGTGCGGTTGTGTTATGGTGGTGAGTGGTGATGTAGTTGTGCGGTAGTGATGAGTGGTGGTGTGGTTGTGTTGTGGTGGGTGGTGATGTGGTTGTGGTGATGAGTGGTGTGGTTGTGTTGTGGTGATGAGTGGTGATGTGGTTGTGGTGATGAGTGGTGATGTGGTTGTGGTGATGAGTGGTGGTGTGGTTGTTTTGTGGTGGTGAGTGGTGATGTAGTTGTGCGGTAGTGATGAGTGGTGGTGTGGTTGTGTTGTGTTGTGGTGGTATGGTTGTGAGTGGTGGTGGTGTAGTTGTGTTGTAGTGATGTGGTTGTGCAGCGGTGATGGGTGGTGATGTGGTTGTGTTGTGGTGGTGGGTGGTGGTGTGGTTGTGCTGTAGGGATGAGTGGTGGTGTGGTTGTGGTGATGAGTGGTGGTGTGGTTGTGTTGTAGGGATGAGTGGTGGTGTGGTTGTGGTGATGAGTGGTGGTGTGGTTGTGCTGTAGTGATGAGTGGTGATGTGGTTGTGGTGATGAGTGGTGATGTGGTTGTGTGGTGGTGGTGAGTGGTGATGTGGTTGTGTGGTGGTGGTGAGTGGTGATGTGGTTGTGCTGTGGACGTTGCAGACCGGGGTGCTGCGTGTGAAGATGTCGCAGTCGCACGATGACAGCCTCGTGTGCGCCTCCTGGTTCCCGGACAGCCGTCGCTTCTGCACAGGCGGCCAGCGGGGACAGTTCTACCAGTGTGTGAGTCGACGAGTCCGTTTGCGAGTCTGTGAGTTGGTGAGCGCGAGTCTGTGTGTGCGAGTCCACGAGTCTGTGTGTGCATCTGTGATTTTCCGCGCTCAGTTATACCGGTGCGAGTGTAGGTATTCCAGCCCTGCTGGTGCGGTGGCATATATATCATATACCCTGTACATATATTGTGTACGTATATCATGTATCGTGAACTTACATCCTATGTTTATATTCTGTGCGTGCATTGCGTACGTATAGCCTGTATGTATCAAGCAAACATAACATATATATGTTACGCAAACGTCGATAATGCGTACCTATATGTCGTGTACTAGAATAAGCGCGTATGTATACCCTTGGTGTAGTAGCATGGAAGGAGGAGCACTTTGTGCCTTGACGGAGAGATGAAGTTTGATTTCCGCCGGCGGCCTTTCAGGCCAGTGGTAAGTGGCGGCGGTGTGCGCTGTCACGTAGCGCGATGCGCTTTGAGTCGTCGCCCGTCCGCGGGCTACGTGGTCGCGGCCTGCATAGTCGCTCGTTGCGAGCTGCATAGTTGCATTGACGCCGATTGGCGTGCACTCGCCCCGGCGCGACAGGCACCCGATCACAAAGACACCCTCATCGTGACAACGACCCTGACATGACGATCCTTGTTATTTGTTCGATTGTCCGCGCACGACAGGACCTGAACGGGACGGTGCTGGAGTCGTGGCAGGGCGTGCGCATCCAGTGCGTTTGGTGCTCTGCCGACGGGAAATCCGTGCTGGCGTCAGACACGCACCAGCGCATCTGCAGCTACAACTTCGAGGACGTCACGGACCGGGCCTTGTGGGTACCCCCCCGCCTCCCCGTCCCACCACCCACTCTCTCCTCCTCCTCTCGGTACCCCCATTGCCATCATTCGTAGCCTCAATGCGGAGTCCTAATGTATACAAGTGGAAACTTAGAAACCGTCTCTCTGGTCTGTGATGGTGGGTGGGTGGATATGTGGGTGGGGAGCGGTAGTGTAGCGGCTGGAGCACTGTGCTACGAACCCCGCGACCTGAGTTGGATTCCCGCTCACGGTCAACACCAGTGACGATTATCTGAACCTAGGTCCACTTAGCCTCAAATGAGTACCTGGTGCGGTGTGTAAACATCACCACTCGGGAGACAAAGGCGACCGGGCATGGTGTTGGCCACCCACCCCCTCGTGTGCCGTGCTGTTCATGCTATACGGTGGGGGGGGAGGGTCTTTGTGTGCGTTTATGGCAGTGTTTGTATATGGCTGTGTGGTGAGGGTGTCTGTGTTAGTGTGTAAGTGTGTGCATGAGATAAAACTACTTTCTGTGTGTGAATGTGCATCTGTAATTGTGCTTTAGTGGCTACTCTTCATTGGCCATACGAGAATAATAAAATGGCTTTGATGTATGTGGCATTTATTTCACATCGTACGTACCCAGCTGTCCTAAAAACTGTTCGACAGAAATTAGTTTTTAATTTAGATTTAAAAGTGCGTATAGCTCCATTGGCTTCCTGATATATCGGAAGAGCATTCCAGACGGCTGCAGGTGCAGTGACCATCTATGTTCGATGGCTCGCTAAAAGTCCACTGTGAGGATGATGATCTCTGCACCGCGGTTATTGAAGTCCAGGCTGAATCCCGCGTGGCTTGTGAGATCTGACGAGAGAATGGGCTCATTCGTTCATCACCATCGTCATTCGTTGCTGGACGGGCGTCGCGCCTCGCACACAAACATAACCGAAGTCCCACGGCGCTGGCAGAGTGAACTCACAACTGAACCGACCACGGCACGTGGGCAGCAGCAACACATGAACTTGGTCACACGTGGTTTCCAAGACGACCGCGCGATTTGGTCCCCGCATGTGTGACCACCGTGCGTGCAGAGGGTTATCGCAGGCACCCGAGGACCTACATTGCTGGGCAGCACTGGCAGCAAAACCCATCGTTGTACTGTACCGTACTCCCGCATCCATGCTCTCCTCGCCTTCGCCAACCCGCACCGAGCGGCATGGTGGATCGCGGTCAAAATTACCGCCACGGTGCGACGGAGGGAGGGTCCTTTCCCTGCCGGGAAGTGACTGAACAGGGCTGCGCACTTGGTCGGTGCCACCGGGTGCGGATGCTCGCTGCGGGTGTAGCGCTGTAAAAACCGCCGGCCGTGGTGACGCCGGAGACGTGCGCGACGGAGGCTGTGTCTGCTGTGCACGCAGGATCCAGGAGGACCACCCCATCATGACCTTCAGCGTCTCCAAGGATGACCGGCTGGCACTAATCAACGTGGCCACACAGGTGAGCGTGGCAGCGGTGTCATCTTCCCTCCTCACCCCTCCCCCCTCCTCACCCCTCCTCCATCTACCCACCATCCTCCCTCCTCCTCCTCCTCCATCCCGCTTCCGCAGAGGTCGCTGTCCAGTGACGTTCGAAGTGGGCACCCGACACCGCCCAGAGTGTAAATGCAGAGGACAGGTACAGACTAGAATGGGTGCTGTAGAGGAGGATTGCCCTCTGGGCAGACTGGAGGGAGGATTTGGAACACTGAGTTTTGCACGCGATGACGCTGTGTGGCCTGGCTGAGCCGAGTCTGCATGCAGAAGGCAAGGGGGAAACCGGTTCTCACTTCGTGCCGAGACAAGACGCACAGCAGTGTGCCCGAGTAGGAAATGCGTACTTGTGTTGTGCGTGTTTATACTGCGATGTGGGGAACGGTGGCGTAGTTGTTAGCCCACTGCGCTACAAACCCTGCAACCCGAGATCGACTCCCGCTCACGGCCAATAAACGGTAGTCTGAACCTTTTCCTAGGCATCTCCGAGGCTTACTCGGCCTTAAAATGCGTACCTGGATTGATGTGTGAAATGTCAGCACTGGGGATACAAAGGTGACTGTGCATGGTCCTAGCCACGCTAACCCCTCATGAGCCGGGCCAGCCTTCATAGTTGCGACTCGCTAACAGAACTTGCCTCAACAGTCTTAAAGGATATACAGGGATCTTTTGGGTTTGTACGAAATAGCACTAAAAGCGCTCATACATTTGTATTCATGGCGATGCATTCCCGACAAGGTTATTCCGTTCGTATGAGAAATATGAGGGCTACATTGAGGTATTGATTATAGCGCTCATATACAGATGGTAAATATTATTTCCTAAATACAAATAATTTATTTTAATTACATCATTGAGTACAGTACATCATATTTACTAATATAATTACAGCTCCCCCACCACTGCCGCTACGCTCCGAGGCTCAGATCATTCTCAGAGAAGAGCTCCAGAACCTGTCCCCGGTCTAAAACCCTGTGGGGATAATCAAATCGCGGGGGGTGGGCTCTGGTTGGCTGAGAGCCTGTGTGCGTCGCTCTCATTGGCTGAGCGGACGGTGGGGGCGAGGTGACGTTTTCTCGGCCGGCGCTGCTGCGCGCTCTCACTTGTAAGTACTGTCTAGATTTTTTTAATGACATTTTTCTAGGTAATAATTTTCTCCAGGACAAAGAGCGCTATAACAAATCAGCTGTCCACGTGATTGCGCTAAGCGAGGTCTTCCTGTACTGGTAGTGCAGTGGTTCTACTTCGATGCCTGCCGCTCTGGTGTCCTCCCACAGGCTGAAAACATCTTTATATATATAGAGGACTGCAGAGCGTCGGCAGTTGTTGGCGGCAGCTCACCGTGTAGCTGCCATCTGACTTGTCTGATCCTTCCTGCCTCCAAGTCGCGTGACAAGTTGACACTATTATTAACAACTGAAAATTATCTGAACCGGTTCTGGGCCTCCCCTATGGTGACTCAGCCTTATAAAATGAATACCTGGTACAGGGCGTAAAAATATGTATTACTGTCCTGGCCGGGAGTATTGCTGGCCACCCACCCACCCCATCGTGTGCTGTGCCGGTCTTTTATAGGTCTTCGCTAACGGCACTTGCCCCTACAGTCTGTTGAAGGCATTGCGCGGGATCTTTGTGCCCTGGTACACACGCTCGTGCATATACACTTGCGTGCGTGTCCCGCGCGTGCGTGTGCGTGTACGTGTGTGCAGGGCGTGCACCTGTGGGACCTTCATGAGCGCGCGCTCGTCAGGAAGTACCAGGGCATCACACAGGGCCTCTACACTATCCACTCGTGCTTTGGGGGCCCCAACGAGGACTTTGTGGCGAGCGGCAGTGAAGGCAGGTCCCGGCATGGTGGATACACGGAGGGGGGGGGGGGTCATCGCCCCTCCCCTCTCCCACCCCCCCAGGGGCCGGGGGGGTGAGTGTGCTCGCGTGGACTGACATTGTGGGGAGCGGTAGGGTAGCGGTTAGCGCATTTCACTACGAACCTGGCGACCCGAGTTCGACTCCCGCTCGCGGCTAGCATCAGTGATTATTTGAACCGGCCCTGGGCCGCTCTTAGGTCATTTCAGCCTCAAATGAGCACCTGGTGCAGTGTGTAAACATCACTACTAGGGAGATAAAGGTGGCCCGGCGTGGTGTTGGCCACCCACCCCCTGGTGTGCCATGCCAGCCTTCATTGGTGCTCACAGCTCTTGCCCCAACAGTCTGTTAAGGCTAGATGGGGGATCTTTGTCTTTGCTGATGTTGTGGATAGCGGTGGCACGTAATGGTTATCCCAGATGCCCCGAATTCGATTTTCGCTCATGTCTAATATCAGTGCTGAATAACTGAACCTTATCGTGGACGTACCCAAGTTTGACTCATCCTTAAATGAATACCTGGTGCTGTGTAAACGTCAACGCTGGGGACACAAAAGGTGGCTGGGCGTGGTGCTGGCCACACCGCCTCGTGTGCCGTTGCAGCCTTCACGGGTGCTGCTCCCCAACAGCACTTGCCCCGACGCCTATACGGGGTGGGGGGGATCTTTGTCTTTGTACGTGCGCACAGACCACAAGGTGTACGTGTGGCACCGCAAGCAGGAGCAGCCGGTGGCGGTGCTGGCGGGGCACACGCGCGCAGTCAGCTGCGTCAGCTGGAATCCGCGAGTGCCCTCCATGCTAGCCAGCGCCTCCGACGACGGCACCGTGCGCATCTGGGGCCCCGCGCCCGCCCTGCCCGATGGGGACCCCCACGCGCGGTGCCCGCGGGCCCAGGCGCAGCAGTCGGCGCAGCAGCCGACGCAGCAGCCGGCGCAGCAGCCGACGCAGCCGACGGAGCAACAGGCGCAACTGTGAGCGCGCGACCATCCCTGCTGCATTAGGCCTCTGCGTTGCGGGGCACGTGATGGCTCGCTCCGCACGAGGGCATCCTTAACCAGAACTTCCGTAACCACCGACGCCTGGGTTCCCATCGTTGGCGCTGTTTTCCCTGCGCCGTCACTCCCGGGATCCCGACCCCCGGCGAGAAACGCTCGCGCCCATCCTTCCATCTGACGTCGGTGCCGTCCGGCCTCATCCCGAGCGTTCGGCTGTCTGTGCGACGGGTGTTTGTGTCCGAGGAGCCCCGTGGGGCCCGCTCCCCTACCGCTCCCCCCGGTCTTGCGCCGCCACGGAGGCCTTCTCGGCACGTGGTCGTTAGCTGCGCGTCTCCAACGGGCTCCGCCTGCGGCGTCCCTCACGCCCCCCCCCACCCGAGCGCTACAGTGGGTGGGACCCTCCACCTGAATGAGTGCGGTTTGTGAGTGTACCCTCTGCAGCGTGTGCCCCCACACCCCATACGGCGTTTTTTTTTTTACCAAAAGCACCGATCCTCCCCCAAGACCTGATTTGCACTGGCCGCAGGTCACCCCCGTCCCCCTTGCGCACCACCTTTATTTGTGGGGGGGGGGGGGGGCTCCACGTTTTTTTTCGACACATGCTCCATCAGCGAACGACCGGACACGATGGTCAAGTTCTCGATATGCGAATGTTTTTGCCCGTTGTGTGTGCGCACGTATCTGCTTCATCCTCCTCGCCCGTTGCACGAACTTGGAGCAGACTCTGGATGCCCCTCCCCGCATCCCCTACGACGCGTTGACGCGAGCGCCGCGCATTGACGTCTTTAAGAGGCCCGCTGTGACAATCGCGCAGAGTGCCCTCGCGGCGCAGGCAAGCGGGCAGGATCCTCGCGCCCACTCCACACAGTGCTCGGGCGGGGGGCGTGGGGACGGCGGTACCACACGCGAGTTCGTGGAATCTCCCCCCGGAGTGCGTCCACCGGGAGAGGAAGGCGCCAACGCGGTCGGCGCATGAAGACGGCTGGAAGGCGTCGTTGCTAGAGACCTGTGCGTCACCCAGAATCCCTTTCAGCTTCCGCTGGGATTTGCTGTCATTGCTTCCTCGGCGTTTCACGGTCGCAACATGTGCTGTTTTTCTGTCGTCTATTGTGTCTGGATTACGTGGGGGGGGCTGTGTGGAGGCTGTGGGGGGGGGCTGTGTGGAGGCTGTGGGGGGGGGCTGTGTGGAGGCTGTGTGTGTGGGGGGGGTGCTGTGTGGAGGCTGTGTGTGGGGGAGGGGGGCTGTGTGGGCGAGAGAACGGCGCGGTGACGCGCGGACTCTGGAGGATCTGTCGAGGCATTCTTACGTTGACGCGTCATCCCGTGGTGCACACTTGAAACTCTCACCTAGGCAATACAAACCAAAAACAGACCGAGTCGTCGGGTGTCTGTAGAGCGTTCAGTGTTTGCAGTATTGGAGAAGGATCGTCCCGTTCAGTGGTGGATATGTAGGTTTATGTTTACACAGCCTGATCCTTAAGAGTGACAATGTAAGAATTGAATAACAAATGAGCAAATGCAACAAATGAGAAGTAAGAGTACTCTATTTTTGGATCTCATCTCCGCTCAGACCGTTGCCTTGAGCACGCCGCCTCCCCTTACCATGAAGCCCGATGTCCACGCCCTCGGTCGGATTTCTTCTTCTCGCCATTTTAAAGTAGCGTCTGCCTTTTATACGCACGCTGTGCGACTATGTCACAGCGCTGTGGGGGCCCTAGTGTTCGCTTCATATTTACTTGAAGAAATAAACTTTTGTGACATTTCCCAGCACTCCATCGTCGTGTTCGTCCCGCGGGCTTCCGCTTTCAGTCACCTGCGTCGCCTGGGGTTTGTTTCGGCTCGGACGAGGGAGGGGGAGAGGCTGCCACTCCTCAGTCGGGAGCTGGACCGGTGCCACCTGGATCTCTATGGAATACAGGAGGACTGGTGGACTGATTCTGGCTCCTTTTACATGCGGGATGGAGATTCATCTACTCGGGCAGGATGGCATCAAACAACAGGGAGTGGTTAAAAGACCGAAGGGGTAGCCTGGCAGCTTGGTGCTGGCGAGGTGTTGGAGTCACATGGTTTTGTGAGCGTGCCTTTTCATCAACAGGTGGAGAATGATGAAGGCAAAGATGTTGGCTGGCCATTCAGGACAGATCATCTTATTGGGTAACTTATTTTCTCGAGTGGGTCACGACACTAGCAATTGGGCAAGAGTGCTGCTAGATTTTGGTGCAGCTTGTAATCACCAACATGCTGTTCTGCCATTGGCGCATCCATACATCTGCTGGAATATGTAGTGGCGGAACAGTGAATGTGAGCCCATATCCTGGGCCTGAGTGCAGAAAAAATGATGTAATCTCAGCATGAAGTGATTTGCATACGACACGAAAATCCGAGTGAAAAAACTTAAGTTGTCAGCCGTTTCTGCAGGCACGGATGTCGTCACGGCCATTGCTTTGGATGATGTAATCACTCCGCTCCACCAGCGAACTAATCGGCTGCAACGGGGAAATTGGTGCCAATTTTCACTCGCGATGCTCTTCCTGTTGCAAGAATCTGCAGCTCCACTTCTCGGCGAGAAGAGCGAACTCTGCGTGTGATGAGATGGACACCCATATTTTGAATGCGGGTGGTGTCCACCTCCATGAAATTAGCCCTGCAGCAGTGGGAGCCACGCGAGAAGAAAGCACGCGTGGCAGAGGTAAGCACAGCAATGTTGTTCATGTGATGGCATACGGTAAGTCCTCGCTTAACACATGTTTACACAACGCGTTTTCACACTAACGTGTGGTTCTTCCATTGGGGAATATGTTTTGCACAATATAGAATGCGCCCGTTATAACGCGGTTTCTGAGCAGTGCGATACAGTACGCGGAACGATACGGCAACGCGGCTGCGTACCCTCAGTTACTTGTTCCATCTCACTATCTACTCCGTATCTCGCCAAACTTCATCGATACATTATTTATGGGGAAATTATTTTCACTTTACGCAATTTTTCGCTTAACGCGGCATTTTGCAGGAACGCGTCTACCGCGTTAAATGAGGATTTACTGTAGTAGTAATGTTAACCATGTTAGGAATGTTATTAACGCTGATAATATAGTCGAAAGTAATCTTGTTTATGTTGTCGTTTGTCATACGAGATAGAGTAATGTTATAAACCACAACCATACACCGCAAAAAAAGCTCAAAGAACCACAACCGTACACAACTTGAACCACAATCGTACATCAAAAAAGTGCGCCGACACAAATAGACGTGCAGATACAGCCGGTCAAACAACTACAACCGCAACGAATACAAACACGGGAGATTTCTGATTCCACGCAGACGTGTCGGATCGCTGCTTTGTATAGCTCGTATATTACATCATGGACATGTATGCGAAAGCTTGTTTTTTTACTAAATCTGTACGTTCTTGGAACTATACCGTGCCTGAAATCTGTAAAACCATCCATGGGCAGCCTTGAATGTTTTCTCTTTCTCTGCTTCTTCTCCCAACTCCTTTTTCAAGTCCTCATACAACCTCAGGGCTTTCTCGTGAACGAGAGCTAAGCTGATCACACGTTCTTGGTGTGCAGATCCTTGTTCCATAATGCCAGAAATGTTGATCTTTGAATGCTTTAAAACATGCTTCGCTTTATCTTCTATTCCATCGGCATTCTTCACTCTCATACAACACTCGTTGGAGGAAGATTAAAACGGTGCTCAATATCAAGCGCACGTTAAACTTTTATACTACACATTATTACTCTTTGGTTCTTTCGGTAAAGTCACGTAGGTATAAAATAAATCACGACGTTTCGGGCGCAACACAAGCGTGCGTCATCAGGTGGGAAAGCATGGTCTGCTGCTGAGGCAGACTGTTTTAAAATGTTTGAAATGGGTGTAGCCCAAGGGTCATCAAGAAGTGGCCGGGGCTAGTGATGTTAATGTGAGAAATTAGCGTGTAACTGGGTACGGAAGTGGCTATCGTCTCCTCCATTAACTCACCCACCTACAAACTGGCCCGATTTCTGTCTGAGACCCTGCTTCCTTTCACGGGCAAGTCCACCTCAGCTGTACTTAGCTCACTTGGTTTCTCTAATCAAGGACATCTCACTGTCTCCAGATGATTTGCTTGTCAGTTTCGATGTAGTCTGTTCACCAATGTATCCGTGCCTGACACCATTGCAATAATTGAAGACTTGATCCAACAAGGACTGAATCCAGATGTACCAACTTTGGTAAGGCACTGCCTTACCAACACATACTTCACCTGGACTGGTACATTCTACAAACAAAATGAGGGTACCCCGATGGGTTCTTCCTTATCGCCTACGTCCTTGTGGAAGAGATACGTAGATGACACGTTCGTCATCTGGCCACATGGCCTGCCAGCACTAAATCAATTTCTCAACCACATCAATTCCATACACCTGGCTATCAAATTCACCATGGAAGTGGAAAAGGATGGCAAGCTACCATTCCTGGATATTTTGATCGACAAGAGACCTGATGGTTCGTTGGGACATTCGGTCTACAAGAAAGCCACCCACACGGATGCCTATCTAAAGCCTGACTCCCACCACCATCCAGCCCAGAAGAATTCCCTTATCAAAACACTACACCACAGGGCCCGTTGCATCTCTGACCAGCACCACCTAGCCAGTGAGCTGGAGCACGTACACCAATCCATCAGGATGAACGGATACCCGGACCGTACAATCCGCAAAGCTGTCTCCCCAGCCATGGGGAGACAACCTTCTGAGGATCCAACCACACAGTACATAAAATCCGTGATTTAATCCCATATGTAAAGGATGTGATTCCTGACATGCAATACCCTGGTGTCTACAAACTGAGTTATGGTTACATTGGGGAAACGAAACGACATGTCTCTGACCGCGTTTGTGAACAAAAGGCAGATTTGAAACACGGTAGGACCAATACCTCTGCCGTTGCTGATCATTGTTTTAATGCTGTGGGCTCACACGAAATAGATTTTTCCAAGACGGAGGTACTCTGCAAACCTACCGGCTACCTTCAGAGATTTGTTCATGAAGCCATCCAGATATATAAACACAGACACAACTTCAACCGAGAGGATGGGTACAATCTGAGCAATCATTGGAAGGACGTTATTAACAAGGTAACGTCTTAACTGACTGTAATGTTTCCATCCTAACTGCCTATGTCAGCTGTTATTTCCGACTGTGTCTCTCTCTCTCTCTATGCCTTTCTCTTAGATCTCTCATGCTCACATGTCCTTTGCATTGCACTCTCATACTCACGTGCCCTTTGCATTGCACTCAGATACTCACATGCCCTTTGCATTGCACTCAGATACTCACATGACCTTTGCATTGCACCCTTTGGGTTTCTCTCATGCCTTTGGATTGCACCACTCTTCGATTTTACATTAACACGCTAATCTCTCACATAAACATAGCCACTTCCGTGCCCTCGTCGAGGAGGCCGCTCTCCTATCTTACAGTTACATGCTAATTTCTCACATTAACATCACTAGCCCCGGTCACTTCTTTATGACCCTTGGGCTACACCCATTTCAAACCTTTTAAAACAGTCTGCCTCGGCAGCAGACCATGCTTTCCCACCTGATGACGGACGCTTGTGTTGTGCCCGAAACGTCGTGATTTATTTTACTTTCTACCCACGTGACTTTACCGAAAGAACCAAAGAGTATGGATTCCTGCAGTCACGAAAGCTTCAAATCTAGATTACACATTATTACTTTCATTTTAACATCGAGCATATTACTACTGCACTTTTTCACATGCTCACCACCTGCACTAGCACTACACTTGCTACTCATTGTTGAAGCTTTGCGGCGATATTTTGTGATCAAGTCCGCGCCAATCTTCAATGAGCGCTCAGTACGCATGCGAGACGACACGATGGGACAAGATGGTGGTGCATGCACGAAATACGAGTTGGTCCAGTACGTTGTCGACTCGGCTGAACCATGTAGAACATTCCATAACCACGTGTGTACGGGGACATCTTACGTTGGGTTCCTCAACAAGTCAGCGACGTGAGTGTGAAACAATGTATATCATCGAGACGTCGTATGTCGAGGACCCCCTGTATTTTTGTTTTCTGTTTTCCGACCTGCCAATGGTGCGATCTGCCTGCCCTCATCTCT